TAAGGTGGCACAAAAATAAATGATAGAAATCATCGACAAAGTCGGATGACACGAATGCGCGTAATATAATCTTATATAATTAGCTTCCTATATCATGTAATTTTTTCCAAGAAGGCCTATAAATAAAACTACGGTAGAGGTACTTTAAGCTTGTGGCCAGAATATAGATAATTATATTATCTAAAATATATCAAAATCTGGAGAGTGCACAAAAATAAGTTGTAGAAAATCATCGACAAAGTCCGGATGACACGGTAAGTAATGATGATCTTATGGTGCTTGATGTCGTAATTTGCGACTTGTCATCCGACTTGTCATTGATTTTATTTTTTTGTGCCTATCAGATTTTGGATATATTTGAACAATGAATATCTACAATGTCGCCAGGTTTAAAACCTGCGGTACATTTATTAAGACTTTGTTTGTTAAAGAACCGGAATTCTTAAATTATATAAGATTATATTTGCGGCATTCGTAAATCCGACTTTGTCGATGATTTTCTATCATTATTTTTATTATCCACCTCGAGTTTTTGATATATTTGAACAATATATTATCTATATTCTGCCAAGTTTAAAAATTCTACCGTAGTTATTAGAAGCTGTTTGTCGAGATGTGGTGCCAACTTCGGTTTTATACCAGAATTACATTCTCAGGATATTATTTTTTATTTTTTGTTGCTCCAGATTTTGGATATATTATAGACAATAAGAATATCTACAATATGGTTTAAAAATTTCTACCGTGTAGTTTTTATTTATAGGCTTTGTTTGTTAAAAACCGGAATTCTTAACTTAATATATAAGATTATATTACGCGTTCGTGTCATCCGACTTTATCGATGATTTTCTCATTTATTTTTTTATACCTCAGATTTTGGATATATTTTAATAATATAATTATCTATATTCTGTGAAGAAAAAATTCTACCGTGTTATACCTTTCTTTGAAAAATTACATGGATATAGGAGTTAATTATATAAGATTATATTACGCGTTCGTGTCATCCGACTTTTGTCGATGATTCTATCATTTATTTTTTATCCATACCAGATTTTGGATATTTTTAACAATATAATTATCTATATTATTCTGGCCAAGTTTAAAAATTCTACCGTGTAGTTTATTTATAAAAGGCTTTGTTTGTTTTAGGCCGATTCTAAACGTAATTATATAAGATCATATTACATGCATTCGTGTCATCCGACTTTGTCGATGATTTTCTATCATTTATTTTTTTATTTTGGATATTCATAGACAATAAGAATATCTACAATATGGCCAAGAAAAATTCTACCGTGTAGTTTTATAGCTATAGAGCTGTTTGTCGAATGTGGTGCCAACTTCACGGTTAATACCAGAGTACATTCTCAAGGAATATTATTCCTTTTATTTTTTTGTGCCACCTCCAGATTTTGGATATGTCAGAAATAAGAATATCTACAATATGAGTTTAAAAAATTCTACCGTGTAGTTTTCTATTTATAAGGCTTTGTTTGTTAAAGAACCGGAATTCTTAACTTAAATATATAAGATTATATTACGCGCATTCGTGTCATCCGACTTTGTCGATGATTTTCTATCATTTATTTTTTGTGCCACCTAGATTTTGGATATATTGAACAATATAATTATCTATATTCTGGCCAAGTTTAAAAATTCTACCGTGTAATTATAAACTATTGGAGAAATGGAAAGTACACTGTAATATAAATCTTAGTGTTTTCTTCAATTTCTTGACTTTTATACATTTTGTGATGTTTAAGGACTGTAAAATAGTAATAAACAGTTAAGAATTATTTTTTAGTTGTATTTGATGGAAAACGTGTTTTAAAGACGATTTTTTGATTTATCATTTTGAATGATAAATTTTAGTTGAATGTGGTGATGAATGTTGTGATGAATGTTGTGTTGAATGTGGTGCCCAATGTGGTGCCAATTTCACGGTAGTTATGTAAACGAAGGTCCCAATGCAGTATGGCACGCTGATGGCTACGACAAGTTAAAGCCATGTGGCTGCTATCGACTGCATTGACGGGTGGAGCCAAACTATTTGTGACGCAGTCTAACAACTATCCTGATAATATTGCTTCTTATTACCTTGGAAGAATTGGGGGCTGTCCTGTTGAATTAGTAACTGATTTGGGTACCGAAACGGTAAAATGACTGCAATTCAATCATTTTTTCTGTGATTAGAAAATGCTCACAGATATTTTGGATCCCAAAGATCAACGCATCGAAAGTTACTGGTCTATGTACAGAGAAAAACCAGTCTTCTTGGTGGATTAACTTTTTCAAGGACCTTGTTGACTATGGCAGACTTAACATGTCGAACGAATTTGAGAAAGATTGCTTGTGGTTTTGTTTTTACACCTTATTCAAAACATTTGACTGAAACATACGAGCATTGGAATACACATAAGATCAGAAAGTCCAGGCATTACACAGTTGATGGAAGACCAGATGTGCTGTATTTTTTACCACATGGTAAGGGAGGAGAATCAAATCTTATTGTGTCAGTAACAGATGACAAAAAGTCGTATGCAAGAAATCATCTAATTGAATCGGAGACCTTTGCTTGTATTTTGAATACATTGAATATGTAATGGTTGATAAAGGATTTAATATTCCTAAAAAGGAGGTGAAGCGCTGGAACTTTTGAAAACATTGTCGCTATCTCAAAGGTGCTTATGGAGATTAAGTATTTTAGTTAGGGCAGATTTATTTACATAGAAGCTACAATTAGCGAAAACAATTAAAGAACAGCTCAAATGTATATTAAACAATCACTTTATGTGTCTTATTGTGTGTTTATAGATATAAGAACTCATAGTCAATGCCAACTTTAAGACTTATTTAAGAAACAGATTTACACAACAGATGTCATGCTAAGGCTTTGCAAATGCTTGTCCCTTGCAGTAAGCAAGTAAAACAAATCAATGAATTCTTTCTCTGTTTGCATGTGACATGTTGGAAATGTAATTTCTTTGGTACATGCTCTAACTCTTTGGGAAACAAACAGTGTGCTGAGGGATTAGCTGCATGCACTCATGGTCAAACAAAACTGTTATACCAAATTTCTCTCCAACTGGTTTGTGCGTTATTGATAATCCATTGCATGATACCAGCAACTGACAAATCAGGTGATTCAAAATTATCTGTAGAGGGAGTGATTCAATCTCTGGGATTGTTTGATTTGCTGACAAGTCGCCCAATTCATGATCATAATTCCACGCAACTGCACTTTGTAACCAGATACGGCCATCATCAAATGACAACAAAGTATCCTGGAAAAAGTCTATAATAGATTCTTTGACTTTCTTTCTAGAAGAACCGTCTTCTGAGTACATAGGATTTATAATGAGAGTAAGTAATTGGCATCAGGTTCCAAAGTTTTCTTGAAGTTGTCATTGACAAATAGTGGCTTGCAAGCTTCAGGGTCATTCTTGATTAAGTCAGGTAGCCCATATGCTTTCATACCACCAAGAAACTCATTCATATACAAAGTTCTGATTCAGGAGACTAACCTAACAAAATAGTACATTTAAAATAGTTACTATGAGTTATAAACCTTAACTTTGATTTCTATTCTGAGGCTACTGCTAACTTTAAAACTGGAAAATAGAGCTCAACATGTATGAGATACTTTTTTCTATAAAAAGTATGTAAAAGTTGTCAAATTTGTCATATGTTTATCAACTTTAGGTGGTTATTATGAACAGCACCATGACCTTAAAAACTCTCATTACATGCATTTAAGACAAGCTTCACATATCATTGTTAGTCATTTAAAATTCTATATTTTCAAACCATGTAACACAGTGAATATCAAATACCTTGATTGAACCAACAATTGCTTCAATGTTTTGTTTATTCACTGGACCTGTATAACCATGCTCAAGAATGGTATCAACATAGTCTTCACATGATGATTCAATTTGCTTTATTAACTGATGCTCTTTTGGTGACAGATCACTTGCTTTGATGTTGTGAATATCTACACCCTTAACCATCATATCGAAAGTAGCTTTATCAAGGAAACATGGAGGTGGCCCCCCTTGAGCCATGGATACTGCAGCTATCTCTCCACAAGTATGGTAATTGCTATTCTGGACATGTATTGTAGAGTAGAATCAACTGGAAAACCATCTGGAAACATTATTTTTTCTATTTCTCTGGTAGCTTTTTCTAAAAATTCTTTGGCCATTGCCAGAATCAATACCATCCTCTCCAATAATCACGAACTCTAAAAATTCTTGTAATAGGGTTTTCTTCGCTTCCCTTTGCCACAAAGATAACAATCTTGTCAGGCTGATTCCTCTTCATTACTACCAAGAAAATTGGTCCAATTCAGCATCTACCTTGTCACCCAGTTTTTTGACAACATCTACGGGATCTTTTAGTATTTTTTCATAAACTGAGCTGACTGCTTCTGGATTCTTGTGAATGAATAGAGGAGATGCATAAGCTTCTGTATCAAGTTGATATTGCAGTTTCTGGGCAACTTTTGCATCTTCACATACCCTCTCTGATTCTTCAGTGTTGCACAATTCACGAATCGAATCCTGCTGATAAAACTCATCTTCTTCATACATAGTATCAAAAAGTTTGTCCTCTTTGTGGGAGTTGAATTGGTCAAAAATACCTTCGAATATTGTGGTCTTCAAGGTGCAAAGGTACATGGTAATTCTTTTAAAATCTTTTCCTATCTCAACTTTATAATTGTCAAGTTGGAAAAAATCTTTCGTTCCAGGCATCAGCTAAGCATGACTTCCATCTTCAAAAACCAATATATGTTCTTGGGTGTCATCAAACTTTCGATCAAATGCTTTGTATTTTTCAACAGCTTTATCCAGTATGCTTCGATAATTGGAGGTCTTTGGAACAACAACCGGAAGTTTTTACCCCACACGGCTTTTAATTCATTGCCTACAATTTTCATCAGACCAATGTTGATTGTGACATTTTGATCACTATTATCATCGACTTTTTGTTTTTTCTTGGGGCGAAAAGTATGTCCAGAAATTTGCTCTTTGGACTTGCGTTGCATGTAATCTTCAAGCGACAAAGTTTTTGGTTCACCTGAGATTACTGGCCTTCCAAAAGATCCCTTTTTGTTGGAGCTACAGGTTGCATTGCATATGGATGATTCTCCTTCGCTGGAAGATGTTTGTGGCTTCCAGTCAGGTGGACCAATCTTTGATTGATCAGCCTGGCATTTCCAGCAGTATTGGGATGTGCTTCTAATTTTTGAAGAGCAATTGCAACAAAACCTAATCAGTAGATGAAATAGAAATGCAGATTATGAAAAAGTTTATAAAAAAATTGCCTAATCATTTCTACCAAAAGTGGCCTGAAACTAAAGGATGTTAAAACTTTGCAGCGAGTCGTTATCCAAAATCACGTCCGTTAGAAGTTGTGCAATTCGGATATAACAAAAACAATATCATGAGAAAGAAAAAAGAAATGCATAAACTGTTTTAGAAAATACACTGTCATCTTAAAAGTTCAGATGAATGAAAATATAATATAAGGCTAAAATTTTCGAGTCATGTGCACTTTCAAAGACCACTGTCAAAGACGTATAAGATTCAAATTCTTATAGGCAATATAAGAGCAAGCAAGTTGTCCACTATTTGCACTCAAACTATCAGAATTTCCTTCTAACTGGACAAATGTCCATTGTAGCGTTGACCTTGTCTGAGCGTTGCTTTCAAGCCATATCAACGCAGAGTTGACACAATTCAAACGCTCTTGCCTCATCCAACTCATCATGTGAACAAAGCAGTAAAATGAGAATAATCAATCTGAGGAATTTCAGGTAACATAATTTTCAATCAAACATAACCAATCAAAATAAAAAGCTAGAAAAATTTCCGTTCATACTTACACAAAGTCGCTAGATGATGGCGAACTTTCTTTTCGATGATCCGCCGCCATGTTGATCATGTAAATGCATATGAAACAGTGAACTCTACAACAACTGGAAGGCTAACTTGGACGCCATCTTTGAAGCCTGCATGAGCGCCGCCATTGAAGGTACGGAGGCGAAATACATCACTTCGAAATTACCGGATTTTTTGCAAAAAACAGTGGTCTTCAAGCCAGCTTAATGTCTAAAAATCTTAAACAATGTTTGGACTTTAATATAAAACAAGTTTGAACGACATTTGTACATGTTTAAGCTTCTTTTTAGAAGGATGAAAAGCGTACTTTGTTTTGGCACGTGAAAACATGCCTTATAACTTGAATACAAAACTGACACCCCTCGTTTTTTTTTTCATTAAAAGGATGTAAAATGCACTTGTCTAGCCTTATAATATTGTTTGAATCTGTGAAAATGAAGCTGTCAGGGTAAAAAACGCTGTTTTTCGGTAATTTTTGTGTTTCCGAGCAAAATTAGCTCGCCCCAGTCCTTTTTTGAAAGTTCAGGGCGTAAACAAAAAGAAAAACACTTTGCAAAATATTTCAAAAAGTTAGCAAAAAAATATTTTGAGTTCGTTTTCAAAAAAACTGTCATGCCATATTATTGTGTTATTATTAATTGCACCATTAAAGAGACAAAAGGGTCAAAACCCACTTAAAAAAACGACAAAAACACAATTGACACTCCATACTCATAACTTTTGAAACATTTAAGTAAAAATTGTAATGTAATACAAGTATGAAAAAGATTATTAGTCTAATATTATAGAATCATCATATATTTTCACAAATATGACCAAACATTTTAAACACACATCCTAAAATTTAATATATTACATATGCATTTATCATCATCTGTATTACAAGAAAAAACTAATTTTACAATCAATATGATATACTATAAAATTTTGATACATGATATAGCTTTGCTTGCTTTATTTTAAAACCCTGTTTCAAACCACTGAGGATGAGGGTTGCTTTTTGGCCTTTATGTAGAGCAGGTTATATTAGCAATACTTGTCATGTTGTACACTTGGCTATTTATTTATAAGCATGAACTTGCTAATAAAATGCTCAATACACAAATATGGATGCATGTCAAATCTTCCACCAGTTCTTAAGAAGTGGAGAAGTAAATGACAAAACCAACAATCACCCACAGCTCAAAATTTTAAATCATCACTTTCACACATTACAAAAAGAGCATGTGAAATTCTTACAAAGCAAGTCTAACTTTAAAAGCAATAAAATTGTTATGAAACATGTTATGTTAAGTGGATTGTGTGTATTTTGCACAGCATTCAAAGATACAGACTACCTGTTATCAGTTTTATCTTAAATTTTTGGTCTTTCGACGACAAATGAGAAATTCATATTTCGAAGTGTGTTCTCCCTTTTGTGTTTTATATAATACAGCGTTACGTATACAAAACATGTCTTGGAACGTCCACAATGCATCTTAACACATTAATAACCAAATTTTGCTAACGGTTTTGAAAAAAATAAAGCATTTAGGCTAGCATTCCATTTCCAAGTTAGCAGTTTTTGCAAAACAATCCGTCACGCAAATAAAGCAGTCCACGCGAGATACACGGGAAGCGGCAAATCAGCTTCTAAGTGGCTTCAAACAAGTCTAGGTTTGTTTGTAATGAGTTAGCCTTCCAGTTGTTGTAGAGTTCATTGATATGAAATGAACAATTGAACATATGATTCAGGAAGTGCCAAAATAAAAAGCCATTTCCGGTTTAAGTTTTGCCGTGAGTATATATGTTTTGCCGTGAGTATTTATGTTTTGCCGTGAGTATATTAGATAAGACTTAGTCTATTTCACGAAATGAGGATCTTGTAAAATATATTGAGAGACAAAATACAAAGGTCATTCGTTTACGAATGACAAACAACAATAACAGTTGGGTCCAGGCCCCTTATTACTCAACGATTATCCCATTATGCTCTATCCCCCCCTAAGTCTTTACTAGTATAGGAAAGCGTAATATAAAGTTGTTCTATGATATTTGTTCATCCTCTCAATTTTCTAACAGCCCTTTCTTGTTGAAATCGAGTAATCTGCGTAGAGCTAGTGGTGCTTTCTTGCTTGGCTTTGTGGTCGCTGGTGTAGGTTCACTGGCATCTTCAGGTATTTTGGTTGCGTGTGGTGAAGTTCCATCTGCGGTATCCGTGCTCGGTAGTGGTGCTGGCTTCGGGGTAACAGTCTGTGTCGCCGGTCTTAGACATGGTAATGACGGTGTTTGTTTTCTGCTGGCTGTCATTTTGTTGGGAGTAAGGTTCTCCGTTGAGACTTTTGGTATCAGCAGCAGGTCCGTATCAATAGTATATTTTGGTAACTGCTCTTGTACAGGTGTGAATTGCCGGAGAAATTTTCTGTTTCTTAGTGTAATTCTGTTGGACCCGTCGACTTTGACGCGGTATTGATCGTGTTGAAGGACTTCGATGACTGTTCCAGTCTTGTCCCATTTCGTAGGGTACGGTCCTGTTTGGTTCTGTATTCTTACGTGATGTCCAATGGACAGAGGTGGTAATCTTCTTGTGTGTTCTGACCAACGTTCCGCCGCTCTCATGTGCCGGTTTCGTAAAGCCTCCTCGCGAGCATTGAGTGTTTCCCTCCAGGTGACATGTGGCCTATAATGGCCGGGGAAAATTGGTATGAAATCCTTAATGGGTCTACCGAAGACGCATTGGGCCGGTGATAATTTCGTGTCGGTATCAGGCGTGTTACGATATTGTAGAACAGCAATTTGTAAGGCGTTTGTGTTGAGGCTACCGGTGGGGCCGGTATTGTTCGTGATGAGGCGTTTCACAGTTTTAATGGCAACCTCCGCGCGGCAATTTGAGTGCGGGAATGCAACGGAGGCGAGGCGGTGGTGTACTCCCCCATTGTTTGAGGAACTGCCGTGTTTTGACGGCGGTGAATTCTGGTCCGCCGTCAGTAGCGCATTCGTCTGGGATCCCAAAGGTGGTGAAGACGCGACGTAGGCAATTGATTAGTCCGTCGCAACCGTCTTTGGCTCGTTCGATAATAGGCCAGTTAGAGTAACGGTCTACGATTACGAGATAGTTGGATCCTTTGTAGTGGAAGCTCCTTCAGCTATTGTTCCTGAAATAGAAAAATAAATGATGTTCAATGAAATGCATGAATATGGTTAAGTTAAAAAAGATGACGTAATACATCACCTTCAACAAATTTCTTTATCTGTTGATATTGTTCCTTGGCCTGATTTTCTCGAACAAGATCAATTTTGTTCTGTAGTATAATTATATGCTTCAACTTCATTATTTCAATTGCAGCCAAATGTTCTGATGTCTGTGGTTGTGGACATGACTCATTCCCAGCTGAAACATATTGAAAATATGAATATATAAAAGTTTATTTTAAAGAAATGTGTTTTGGAAGACAAGTAACTACATTACCAATAAGTAAGAGAGCGGCATCCATTACAGCTGCTCCATTCAACATTGTTGCCATAAGAATATCATGACCAGGACAGTCAACAAATGACACATGCCTACATAAAATATCTCATTAATTTTTTTATCATTAATTGTAAAGAGTCACAACTTATGTGCAGAATATAGAAATATCACGTCAGAAAGATGAAAAGCTGAAGATAATTTAAGGTTTAATAGTAAAACTGAAACTTATGGTCCAACTTGATAATGACAAAATCAAATCACGGTGAAAATTAAAGATGAGAACATGCGTTGCAATTTTAGTGAAAAACATTATACCCCCAGCTCAAAAACCCTCAAAAGTGATATCTTGTTCCATTTAACACTAGCATATGTAACTAAAAACACACATATGACAAAGTGTAATATATATTATAATTGACGAATGATAAAGTATAATGTCTTATTGTTTGTAACTACAGGGTGCATATGAAGAACAAGTTCATTCACGTTCTATATGAAAAGATAAAAAAGTGGCGATAAACATACTACATTGTTAAACCATTAAAATTCTTCTTCATCTGAGCATCGACTGCCATCGACAACAAACTAATCCAGCCAAGCCATCGTGTTTATTTCGTAAAATATACATCTTTCTTAGTTGAATGGCAGATCCAACTTACTAATGTTGTTAGATCTTGCTTTAAAAGATTTCCATCTGCACTCATTGTGTTTCAAAAAGATGATTTTACACAGTCAGTATGACTCAGCAAAGTTTTGCGAACTGTTCGACTTCAACCATGAAACATTTTACCTGGATGATGCAACAACTGAACGTTGATCTATAATCGATCTACACTCATCTGGAGCGAGTATTATTTGCAGTGTCATCAAAACTCGCATGTCGTCATTTTGATGGAGGGCCACAGGCAGAAACAAATTCGAAATTTTCATAGTCAAGTTAGTTTTATGCTTTATGGGTTGTAAATTAAACATTCCTATGGCCATAGACGTTGACGAAAAGCTCCTGCTTGGTAGCTCTTAGTCAAGAGGAAAAGAATTATCAACACAATGAAAGTAGACAAATTTTTGAGACATATTGATTTTAATGAGAAAACTGCGATATTACACTTAAATTATAATGTTTCAAGTTAAGAGAATAATAATTAGGTAAATGCAACGAAATACAGCCTAAATATTACATACATGCGTAATGTTCCATGAATGGGACTATGTAGCTTAAGTAATGTTACATGAATGAGATTAAAATTTTTCTTGATGCATTTACATTGGTTGAAATTAAGCAATAAGTATTTCCTTGTCATCAAATGACAATTTTTCAGGTAAAGCTTCATCCTCTGCATTCAAATCAGGTTTGAAATCATCTTTACCAACATCACAGGTTGTAGATTTCTTGCGACAACAGAACTTTGTGAAACTCACCACAAATATTAAAATGGCGACGATGAAAGCAACGAAAATAGCAATTCTTGCACCAAGTGGTAACTTGTGGAATCGTGAACACAAACTTTGGTGTTTCTAAAGAATTATAAATACATTTCCCCTTTAATATCACTAATACACAGATGCTAAATTTTTAGAGGAACTCACATGCTTGTGGCCATAAAAATGTTCGTCAGGTAATTCTGGTCCGAGCCATCTTCTTGGTTTTTCATCCCCTAAAGTTTAAAAAAATTGACTTTTAAGTCTTCAAACTGAATTTAACAGAATGCTTGTAAGCATCTTGCATACCATGGCCGCAATATCTTGTGATACGTGTCCTTGCCAAACGAGATTCTTTGAATGCCACAGTCTCTACAGTGCGTTCATATTCTTTTCCATTAACATCCATATGAACTTTTAATACCTGAATAAAAATAAATTTAATACATAATATAAGTTTTATCAGAATAATGTGTACAATATAAAATCAATATAATTGTTTGAACTTTGAACTGGTTATAAATAATATGAGGTTAGCACCTTCAATTCCAGCTGTTCAACTTTCTTGCCATCAATTTTTGTGACTTTTTCTTCAATCAAGTATCGATGACCTTTTCCAAATTTCTCTCTTGATACCATAACATGGACAACAATTGGAGCAAAATGTTTCTCATTACGATCAGGATACTCTAAAAAAAACAAGACGGGGCTAAATAAGAAAAGTAATCATACAACATACTATCCATAAACATACATACCTATCTCAGCCTTGAGTTCATACACAATGCGAACATCCAATTCAGTTGACTTTCCATTCACTTTTACAGCATCTTCTTCAATGCTGATGTTCAAATTGACCTGCCATTAATGATTAAAATAATGACAATTTCAATTACGCCATCCTTACATCATTAAACGAACAACGTCAAAGATAATAAACTAAAACCAAGTTAAAAAGTTGGGGAAGACAACAAATGCGATTTTAAAAATGTTCACCCGTACATTCTACTGCTACAAGTTTTTTGTATTTATTACCTTGACGCTGGATTTGCGAACGCTGAGGCCTTTATCGTCTTCCTCCTCAATTATATCGACAGCGATGGAGAATTTTTCTTCGCGTCGACCTGATAAATCGTTTTCATGCGACTTTATCAATTGAATGAACAATAAAAGAAAAGCCAAACGCAAAATAGCAACCGTCATGATGTATTTCCAATAAAATACTTTCAGAAAAAAAGAGAGACCGGCTTCCTAGTGAACAAAGAACTTCGAAATATGAGCACAGCTTGTAGGAGGTTTGTTTAGTATGTACATATGGTATTTGACATATTTCATCAGTGATCTGTATTTGATGTATGCATTAAAACAACACTATTTTTTATCTTTTAAAAAGATAGTCTGACGTACGGAAGATCACGAAGACACGAATACTGTGATGATCGTGATCACGTGAAAATGTTTTTAGAGTTCGAAAGTCATTAATATTTGTTATTGTATGTTTTCAAGTGGAGCACCATTTTAAAGTTACTTTTTTTTGGTTGTGGCTGTTTTTATATTTGTTTTTGAGTTTTATCTGTGTAGAAAAGGTATTCAAACTTCATTTACTATCGTTAAAAAAGTGCAGACTTCTTAATGTTTTGATCAAAGATCTTCACATCATTGTAGATTGAAAATCAACATGTCGACGATGCCGGAAGGCGATATTTGTACAAATCTCTCTCTCTACGAGGAATATCGAGATAAATATCCTGAGATTCCTGCTGATGATCTACGACAAATTTTAGAAAAGGTAATGGGAAACTCTTTCGAAACTATCAGTTGTCATTTGCTTCAACTATTGTGTTTTCAAAGAAGTTTTTTCTTCAGATATACTTATGAAATTATGAGTATAACTGATTTTTGTAATGATTTTCAAGTACGGTTCAGATCCAGCAAATTGTCAAGAAAGGCTTGTCGAGGAGAGTATGAAATATCTATATGGAACTTTACCAGCTACGTCTGATTCACAACAGAGAAATGTTGTGTCTCCATCTTTACCTCGATGCAATTCCTCAGGAAGCACAGGATCAAGTCATTCAAGTGGTCGTTCTACACCTGTGAATGCAATGTACACACCATTTAATAATCCTCACATCCCATGTAATTCTTCACCTCTTATACAAACATTGCCCACTACAGATTCCTCTTTTATACCAAATAATTCAACACAAGCATATCATATGCAGACATTTCCACTACATTACAAACACTGAATTTGCGACTAGCAAAACAGATGGATATTTTGTGCCGTCAGTTGTTTCATCTTCAAGAACGAACTTAGAATTATTACAATCGTCTAATAGCCCATTCCCCATCAATGCTAATATTGATGAACGAGTTGGTTCAAGACTCTCAGGTAATATATGTGGTGTTTATTGTATTTATGTACTTTTAATGTTTATGTACAACTAATTTGTGTTTAAACTTATTGTACTAAATGATGCAACAAAATGAAGATATTTTCTTAGCTACAGAATCATTCAGAACTATGAAAAAGACAGTATATATGGATGACTCAAACTGTTATTTAGGAGAAAATTTTAACAGGATGTTGCCATTTTCCTTCACCCCAAAATCAAGTAACGATGAGCTAACTTTGCAGTTAGGTGTGTCAGACAAAAGTACAACAAATTCTAATTATTTACATGGTGAGCAAGATTATGTTCAGCATAAATTTAAAGTTCCGCTTACTTGAAATATGAATTGTCCATTTAGCATGTTATTCACAACAACTGAAGAGATATGAAAAACTAAAAAAGGTATTTTTATATGTCCAACACAAGTCAGTAGTTTTTCCATCATATAATAATGGTTGTGATTTCAGGAGTATGATGAAGAAAAAGAAAGATTGAGAATAATTATTGAAGAAATATCTGAGCGTGAATCAGAACTTTATAATCACAGATATGTGGTACAACCAAATCCAACGGTAAGTTTATGTTGCATTGATTGCCCCATTGAAGGATAACTTTGTTCATTGATAAACATGATGCAATTTATTAGGATGAACAAATAGCATTGCTGGTAAAAGAAAATGAAAAATTAAAAAAGTCTGTCGATGAATTATCTAAGAATATTGACAGAATTGAAAATGGACGAGGTGATCTTAAGCTCAAATTTTGATTTGCTATTATAATAGGTCAGTATGTTGAAATCATTTTCTGTTCAGCATTTTTACCACCAGTGGATGTTCGACATCATGATGTTCATAGAATACAACCACTTGCACAAAGACCAAGAGGTATGTTTATGTACATGTACAAATCAATGATATTTGTACATTGAACTGTATATACTATAGGATGAAATTACATGTTATTAATCAAATACATGTCATGTCTTCATATTATTAATCAAATTTTTTTGTTGTCAATCATGTATTATAGTGTGAATGAAGAATATTTTTAATTATCAAAGATATTTAATACATTTCCCACAAAATCTCCCATAGAAAATTTGTAAATCATTTATCTCTCTCTCGTATTGAACTCACTTCTTATGATTTCTTCTAGATATATTTGACAGATCGCAAAGTGTACCCTGCATTCAACCACAAGGTAGTAATACATACCTTATCTCAAAGTGTACCATACATTAAACCGCAAGGCAATAGTAACCTGTCAGTCACTAAGTATACCATGCATTCAATGATAAGGTATTATAACCAGTCAAAGTGTACCATGCATTCAACCACAATATAATAATAACCTGTCACAAAGTGTACCATGCATTCAACCACAATATAATAATAACCTGTCACAAAATGTACCATACATTCAACCACAAGGTAATAATAACCTGTCACAAAGTGTACCATACATTCAACCAAGGTAATAATAACCTGTCACAAAGTGTACCATACATTCAACCACAAGGTAATAATAACCTGTCACAAAATGTACCATACATTCAACCACAAGGTAATAATAACCTGTCACAAAGTGTACCATACATTCAACCACAAGGTAATAATAACCTGTCACAAAGTGTACCATACATTCAACCACAAGGTAATAATAACCTGTCACAAAATGTACCATACATTCAACCACAAGGTAATAATAACCTGTCACAAAGTGTACCATACATTCAACCACAAGGTAATAATAACCTGTCACAAAGTGTACCATACATTCAACCACAAGGTAATAATAACCTGTCACAAAGTGTACCATACATTCAACCACAAGGTAATAATAACCTGTCAGGTATTTAATTTTCACTGTGCGTGTTCTTTTGGATCATATAACATGTCACTTGCAAGTTGATAAGTAAAAGTCTCAATGTTCTTATCACTTTCAGTTTCTTTACGTGTTCTTTTTATGCACGTGTTAAAAAAATTTCATTAGAGATACTGTCCATCGATGTTGTGATTACTGTTGTTTTCTTATCTATTAAAATATTCAACTTGTTCATCTCATTCCTTTCATAAATCTTCAAACTTTTTTCAAAATTCAAGCAAAATTAACGAAACATTTGTTACGTATATCAGATTCAATACCCATGAAACAGTTGTCGAGACCATCAACAGAACGTCAAGTGCGTCATACAATTTCATGTGATGAAAGTTCTGCCTATTGTAAGTTAACTTGTTTTTATAACAATGTAGCTACAACAGATGATTTTTTGTCAAATGTCAAAACACTTTTTAAAATTGTTTTCCATCAAAATATATGTCGCCGCTAAGGCAGCAAGTCGTACGTAGCTGTTATGGACGGAGTTTAAGCGTTGAAAAGTAGATTTTTCAAAATCAATACAATCCATGGGAAGTTTGTCATGTTCATTAAACCCATCGCAAATAGATAAGATCGAGAAGCCAATAATTTGTAATGGACAATGATTAGGTGTTTTCTGACATTTACGTCGTCTTAGGCAAAAGTCCATATATACATTGGGTGGACATTAAAAGTAACCCACCCACACTCCCTATCTCCCCACCCCATGTAAAATTATCGTTTTAAGTTCGTAGCTCATTCTTAGAGAAATGTTACAGGAGTAAGTCTTACTGTTGAAGAATAAATGAAACAAAATAGTAATGTTGAAAATCACCTACTGTTACTTTAATGAGCGGGCATATTATTGACGTCGTGCTATTGTTGTTCTGCAATGTTGTCAATGACAATTGCGCTAAAGAAATGGTTTTCTGTTCTACGGCAAATTACAATCGTTTTCATCCACGTATCCTTCTGCTGTCTGTCAAAGTACAGTAATGAAAAAGTTTTTTGGTTCTGTTTTGGCTGTCCCTTAGATTTTATAGCTAACAGCGTTCTAACGCGCACAAAAATTATTTTGCACATGTTGCTAATTTACCTGGTTTTCGAGAGAACTCTGACTATCGCATATATTTATTGTTTTATTATTTTAGCCATTAAATGTTTTGTTTAGGGTTATGTTTCTAAAGTTTATACGCAGACTACACATACATTCATTGATGTCTTAACACGTAGTTTTATAAATACTACTTTTGTCGACTACCTGTTTGACACTTCGCTTTTGTAACTAGTTTTTACTTCTAAAGAAGAAATGATTAAGAAGGATCAAGGTAATCATTATCAAATTCTTTTTTTAGATCAAGTGAAGCCATCAAACGACTCAGCATTGCAAGATTGGAGTTTGATCAACAAAGTTCCTAAATTTCCATTTGTACCAGGTGAAGGAACTTCAGAAGGTAAATACTTTAAATGACATGTGAATTTTTAGAGATGTGCGTCCCACAACTTAAATCTTCACGTTTTTTTACAGAAAGCCAATGGAGCTGCCGAGAATGTACATTTCTTAACCACGAAAGTTTATTAACTTGTGAAATCTGTAATACTGCCAGACATCAATAAACCTACAAGAATTTTGCCTCGGTTTTGAATTTTATTTGTGTATGTTTGTTGAAGCTTCTTCGCTTTACTGTCTCTCACGATGAACTTTGGTTTGAGAGCTTTTTGTTGAGCTTTAAGATTTCAGTTTTTTTATTACAAAACACGAGTGAGAAATCATGAAACAGGCTTGTCGGGTTGAATCTGTAGTTTTGTGATTTTTCTCAACACCTCACTACATATATATATATATATATATATAGGAAGTTTATAATTTATGATTTTCCGTATAAAACAGTGCTCGATGCCCGAGAGCAGAGCGTAAATATTGGTAAGGAGAAGAAAATACACATATATAGGAAGTTTTGTTTATTTGAATCTCTTTGTTTTGTTTATTTGAATATAATATATATATATATAACCGTACGTCCTGTGTCCCAAGTGCAGGAGTCACCATTTTACTATGGTGATAGCCGGGAGGCACATTGTTATACACTTTGTATATATATATATATATATCAATATATAAATCTATATTATATCTTGCTTCCAAAGTGGTATTATTTCTGTGGCATTTAAACTACCCAATTTGGTGCCTATTCTCCACTAAATTTATGTAGCTTGATTTCGCACACCAACACTTGTGCATACAGTGTTCTTTTATTGCAATTTCAAGCAACTGTTTACATCTCGCTCGTTTACATTCTGAGCACTAAATAAGGAGGTTCAAATATTTGTATAACGTTACTACAATAGATTTTTACGAGGTTATTGCAATAACCATTCGAACATGCACGTGTTTTCTGGCATGAGTAAAAATTCGGGGAAGAAGTATGTTGGCGAAATCTCTCCTTAACTAAAAATCCTTAGAACATGGAAGATGCAGAGTTCCACTAAAAACGTTCTCCTACATAAACACGCAACTTCACACGTTTTATCGCAATCCTCGCGCGATTTGCGATTGTTCTATTAGAATTTTAAAGTTTCCTTTACAAACAAATCTTAAAGTACCATTTGTGTGAAGTCAATTAATTAAACTTTTTACCAGGAAATCCACGCGTACACGACGCGTACCTATTTTTTAGATGGATGTAAGGTATGATGATATCTTGTATATATTACAGAACGTAATGTTATTTCATTAATTTTATTGATGTTGTCCTTTCATAGGAAATCGCTTCGGAAGTGTGTAGAATATTAGGTTTGTTGTTAATTACGGTGGCCCAAAAGTACAATACACTAACACAAACAGTAGAACACTAACACAAACAGTAATACACTAACACAAACAGTAGTACACTAACACAAACAGTAATACATAAACACAAACAATAGTACACGAAAACAAATAGTAGTACACGAACACAAACATTAGTACACGAACACAAACATTAGTACACGAACACAAACATTAGTACACGAACACAAACATTAGTACACGAACACAAACATTAGTACACGAACACAAACAGTAGTACACTAACACAAACATTAGTACACGAACACAAACATTAGTACACGAACACAAACATTAGTACACGAACACAAACAGTACACGAACACAAACAGTAGTGCACTAACACAAACAGTAGTACACGAACACAAACAGTAGTGCACTAACACAAACAGCAGTACACGAACACAAACATTAGTACACGAACACAAACATTAGTACACGAACACAAACATTAGTACACGAACACAAACAGTAGTACACGAACACAAACAGTAGTGCACTGACACAAACAGTAGTGCACTAACACAAACATTAGTACACGAACACAAACATTAGTACACGAACACAAACATTAGTACACGAACACAAACAGTAGTGCACTGACACAAACAGTAGTAAATGAACACAAATGGTAGTACACGAACACAATCCGTTACAATACTGTCAAGTAAGTGATGAAAAATCCTACATTGTTGTTGCCAAAAAAAAACCCCCAGACTGAATGCTAACTGAAGCTAAACTAAAGCAGGTATTTATAGTTTATACATAATACGATTAGTGAATTATACCACAAACAACAAATATAATACTGGAATGTCATATAATATTTAGATGTGTAGTTATGACTTTAGCGTCCCCGCTAGACAATATCGAACGTCCATGAACTTCAATCTACAACTAATTCAGTGTATCACTGATAGGTGCTTGGAACTTTAAGAAAGGACCACAAGTATGCGAAACAGGACTACGTGCTAATCCATTGTCAGTGAATGCGATCTTAAACTTCATTTCCGGCAGAACATAACTGACTTCCGTAGCTGAAGAAATGCAACGACGATACTTCCAAGAGATTTAATAAATTTGGTCAAGTGGCCAAACGTTACGTGCTCGTTGTCCATTTGAGGAGATGCATCCGGCATTTTAATGACTTTCTTCTGTGTAGGCTTTTCATCATAAAACAAGGAAATCTTCGAGATATTCTGGAATTCTGCACCTTCGATCTTCAACGATTGTAATATCGGATTCCAGCAGCTGCAACTACTTGATACTATCAGATTCCAGGGTTAGAAAATTACTTGGTCGTATAACTAAAGAGCATTTTCAAATCTTGAACAAGTTTGACGTAAATAATATTAAATATATAATTGTATTTAAAAAATGTTAATAAAGTCTATACTTCGTTCAGTAGCTATATACTTGCAGACTACCAACATGTACGCATTCGTACCTAACTTTAAATGTATTCCATTGTATTTACTAAACGCAGTGTTTTGGGAGGTATACCAAAAGGCCAAGAAATGAAAACGAACCTGCATAGTTACAATAAATAATGTTATGAAAAATAACTTCGCTTGGCCACAATGTGGACACTGTTTTTCCAAACAAAACGAAATAGGAGGGAAAACCGGTGGATCCGGTAAAAACCCTCCAATAAAGAAAAGATCAAAAATTAGAAAAATTTTCTTAAGTTTTGTAGTTTAAGGATGTTTCATATTTTTCTTGTTTTCAATGATCCCAATGATCTACTTTAACATGCAGCGTAGTCAGACCGTACATCGTACAATCTTATAACAACTTTAAATTTACAGAGCGAAAAAAAGGGGCCTGACTACCCTATTGACACAACAAATATTTTGTGCTCAAACAATAGAAACGCAAACTTTGCTAGAGAGAAACAAATGAAAGTGCGCATAGTGTTAACAAAAATTATAATGCGCATTTAATAAATACGACAAGTTTTTAAAATTAACATAGTTTCAACATCTCATGATGCCATTTTCAATATATCAAAGAGTAATACTCTTTACTATACCGAAGATGGCATCATGAGATGCTGAAACATATCTATTTTAAAAAAAGTTGTCGTATTTATTAAATGCGCATCATCAATAGTGCTTTAAGGTGAAAATTTTAATAAATAGACAAAAACAGAAAACTCATTGCAGCCATATATAAATTTTGCAAAAAAATTATTCAGTGCGTACGACCTGACCATTCACCTGTCAATAACAATAAAAATGAAATGACCAAAGTGACGTCATGACTTGCATAAAATAATTTTTGATGTTTACTTAAGACTTTCATTAATAACTGGCTTTCACTCGTGTGTTTTATCAGAAAATTTAGTTTTACAGAAATTTTTAACGGTTGAATTTGAAAATGCGTTATACTGATAAACATTATGCATAACGAAAGTCGCAAGTGTGAATCTTTCAATAAGGACGCTTGTGTCTTGGTGCTTCTATCCGACTTTGTCCTTCATTCATTATCCAGTAGTAGGCCTACAGACATAGCTACTCTATAAAAAAACACGTTATAAATGTCAGCATAATGAATGATCAAAAACAGAAATTGAATATATTGAAAAGAACAAAACTTTTATACCTGATTTCCAAGCGTTGTCCTTGGTCAGTCTGATCCAGGCGACTTAGTCGGTCTCTTCCTATTTTTCTATCGCGCAGCTTTTGAGTGTATGTCGCAGAAATATATGGTAAAATTTTCATCTTAAAAATTCAATTAGACCTACTTGCAGCATTGCAATTTTCTTTATAAACGTTGAACAAAATTAGTAAAAAGTAACGAGTGAAAGCCAGCTATTTTCTCACAGCAAGTGACATATCTTTTATTGAATTTTTTTAAAGTTGGGTGTTTTCATGATCAAGGTTCAAATTATAAAAATAGACCATCAGGATTCAATTTAACTATCTCATGCAGTTACTCATATAAGTTAATTTTAACACTTATCTACTCATCGATAGATTACAATGGTAACTTCAAGCGAAGGAAAAGGGATCACTTCAATACCCCAGTTTTATCATCATTCAAAGAATGCTTAGTGCAGAGTTGATCTTATGTGAATATCAGCTGACCACCTTAAGGTGGGCTCATATAACAATGGGGCCCATCATCATTATACGAACAAACAACTGACATTAATAAAAAATCCAAACTACAAATAAACATTTTTGGCCATGAATCACCATGACACATGAATAATGACTAACTAGTAAGAGTGATTGAAGTGAATGACACAGGTGATAAAGGGACTTTCACAACTCCATCCAGGTGGAATCTACAATATAAGAAAATATGAAACACATTTATGAGATTTAATGATGAAAAACTATGCATATGACGTTAGTTTGCGTTTTTAAATTCTTAATTAGATATATTGAGAATGAGAAAATTGCAATATGTTCTCTGTTTGACTATCCAAATGGTTGAAAATTCACCTACATTGCACGAATAGCTCTGGTCAGTTGAGTTTGAACGATGTAAGTTTCAAACGATCGAAGGCTTGACATCGTGATCAAAGCATTTTACAGTGAAAGCTTTCATATTACGAGGCTTACCCTAAGACTAGTCAATTGTTTCATGAAACTCATACTTCAGTACTTCGTCAGTACAAAGACCGAATTTACCTTTCTTTTTACAACGTTAAAGTGACTAATTTTCCCTTGTTAGCATTTCTTTAATTGACGTCATGACTAAAATCTTTTATTTTATTGGCTCCCAAGGAGCATGTCACCTTTCACAAAGACAATAAGTAATCCTTCGATGCGCTTAAATAAAAAAAACTTCAA